AAAGATAAAAATAAAAATAAAAAAATTTGATAATCCATATAATATTAAGAGCCTGTTTGTTTCAGATTCTCATTTTCTACAGTAAATCAATTCTCATTTTCAACCACATATTCTTCTATAAAATAATATTTTCCATCACATCAATACTTTTTTCTTCTTTTCCAACCCCACATTTCCCATCATATCACTATTCAAAAATCAATTATTTCTCCAAAAATCCCTACCAAACACACTCAAAATCTCAAACTGCTGCAACCGGAAGAGAAAGTCAGACCCCTTCTTTGATTGCCTTATCCAACTGGATTCCACCATCATACAGTATTTTTATTGAGAGCTTGTTTGATATTAATTTTTTTGCGAAAAATGCATTTTGAAATAGTATTTTGATGAAGAATATATGGTTAAAAAATAAAAAAAAATTTAAATTTACGTATAATATTATTTTATTGAAAAATGTATGATCCAAAATAAAATAAAGAAAAATGTATTTTGAAAAAAACGATGACCAAATTAATTCCCAAGTAACTCTTCGCACACCTTCAGGCTTCAAGTTCATTTTTCCCACTTGCTTCTTGGATTGGAAAGGGAATAGAAATGACAATGAGATAAGTAAAGATTGGGTAGGATTGGAATAGCCATCCATACCTCTTATCTTATTGGAGATTTTCGAGAGACATATATGGGTTCGAAAGTTAAAATATTATCGTATATATAATTGTCCAGATGGGAACTATGTTCCTCGTCCCCTTTTGATTCACCAACTAATCAAAAAAATTTACCATTTATTTGTCTTCATAATCGATTAATTGTTGTATCTACCATACATCCATCCATTTGAAACAGCAAAAAGAAGTGTCCCTCGCTAAGGGTCACCCCTTCACCAAAGCACCCACGACCACCTTGTCACTGTTCCTAATAACCACCTTAACTCCAATAAAATCCTCACCTGTCATCGGTAGCAGAAGTTGACAACGCTGCCTCTCCTCCCCATGATACACTCTGTTCCATTCACCCCAAAGAATCCAGATTACACACCCCAATCTGCCTAGTTCAAGACCCTCTCGCTCTCGCCTGAGCTCACTTTTTTGGTTTTCTGGTTTAACAGTTTTTGCTTACAGCCCTAACCTGAGATTCTCTTCAAACTTGTTGACCAGACTAGCCATGCATAAATAAACTGAATATGCCTCAAAGGGTAACATCCATCGACGACTTGAGAACAATTTAACTAGTGGAATCAGAGCCAGACCTATCGCTCTTTCACAAGCATAATTCCTCAAGACAACAGAGCTTTGAGGGCACACAATAAATAAATTAACGAATGAATGCAAAAAATAATAACCGCATAAAATCCTTAAATTTCGATTAAACCAAAGCAATATATGACTAAAAAAAGGGGGGGTTCTACTCTGTTTTTATCAGTTTCAACTTCCACAAGGAGATTTGAGTATATGCAAGGATTAAATATGAAACCTGTCCTGAAATTAAGAAGAGTTGTGCCCTGGATGAACACATACTCCACTTACAGCTACCAACCATATTAAGCAGATACTTTTCGGTGCGCACCACAACCAGTTTCAACCGGGGAAGAAAGCAGTGGCCCGATTTGTTTACCCCTCTTATGTAGACAATCCTGTTGTTTTACAGATGGGACACAGATTTTTGTGCATGAGCCACTGTTTAATACATTCTACGTGAAAGTCATGCTTGCACTCCAATGTTCCAAGATCTTCTCCATCTTTATATTCTTCCTGCATAGTATAACATGCAGTTAAACCAGAGTAGTGTATAGAATACAAAATCAGGAGAATTGCATCATTGGTCCTTCAACCTTTCATTATAGTTATAAAATCAGTCCCTAGGACAGGAAACCATCCAATCTTTACAAATATATGTTGCTTTCCAACTTGGGCCAATACCCAGAAATCTGAAGTAAAGCATGTTTACACAAGTCACGTAATGCTTTAATGTAGATTTGGAAGGTTCCAGTCGTTAAGGCCAGATTGTGCAACGCTAAAGAAAGGTTTGCTACCAACATGATACTCTAGCAATAGATTGGGGACAGACGATGCAAGTTTCCCTTCAACTCGAATACTAAAGATGCTTCAAGTAAGAATAAAAGGTCGAACCTGACATATACAGCAAGGCTCAGTCTCTACTTGACCTTCTATTTTTAGGTCTTGATATTTCATTTGCTTCAAACGGCTTATAATGGTTTCTTCACTCAGTCCTGTGCACACATTTCCGATGCGCTCCTCCAAAGCCAACAACTCCTGGTGGAAGAATAATTTTAAATAATGTCAAGTTCTATCAGGAAACCGATGGCATTATATATAAAGTAATCCTTATTTCTCACCTCATAAGACATGTTATCTACATCTAGACGCATATCCCGATGTCTATCATGAATATCAGCCATTCCAAAAAGCACTGACTGATCGAGGATCATAACATCCTAGGGCACAATCAAAAGCAGCTATTGGATTCAGAAAAATGATTCCATCAAAATATAAAACAAGAAATGCATCTTTCTTCTTTTAGGAGAAGTGCAAAAACATCAGAAAAGATAAAATACTCTAAGTGTGCAAATTCCAACTTATTTCATTTCATATCGGATCCCATGCATATGCAACTATAAGCTTGTTTACCAAAATATGTGTGTGTGCTTGTGTGTGATCTATCCAAATTAAAGTACCTCTTGAGGAACAGGCATTTATTCGAAAGAGATGGTCATACTAGTTCTCATTCACTTTAACAACGAGAAAAGCACCGCCTTGGGCCAACCTCGAATGATTGACCATTAGCATGTTTAGTTATGCTTAAAAAGTTCACTTATATGTATATAAATAGATATGTTAATTACTTAAATATGTTGCCAGTAAACTAAAGATTTATTTCTAAAATAAACAACTTTTTTACTTGGAAATAAGAATAACATAACTTATCCACACCTGTTTGGAAACAAAAAATTACTTTTAACTTCTACATACTTATTAAGCTTAGCCAAACATGCTAATGTGTAATGAAAACACAAATATATTGATCACTATTATGCCCAACTAATTTCAACAAGCTAGTGCAGTTGGACATCTTCACTAATTGCCATCATCAACGCTAGGGAGCGCCCCCACCCCGTTACCCGTTTAAGGTGGGGAGTGGTGGAGCGAAGCCCTTGCCCAGTTTACTATCCCGTTTAATTTTATTTTTTTTAAGTTTTTGATTATTTATATTATTGTCCCCATTCATTAGATTGAAACATAATTTTAGTTGCTATTTTCTATTAGAACTAATAAAATTTCGTAAAATTTTTCATTTAAAGTATTTAATTCTAAAAATTAAAAAAATTAAATAGGGCAAGGCACCCGTTACCCAAACCCGCCCAGGGCCAAAATTCCCCGCCCCGTGGGCAATCCCCCCGATTAAGCTGGTAATCCCCCCGATTAAGTTGGTAATCCCCCCGTTTGGGGTGGGGCCCCGTGGGCATTAGGCTTGTCGGATTTTTTTGCCATCCCTATAGCAGACCTAACCAGATGATGCATCTTCTCAACCAGGGATGGAGCTACATGGAGCCCACTGAGGGCAGTTTGCACCACGGAATTTTGGGGCAAAATTTTCTTAGGAGTGAGGACTTCGGGGCTAAATGATTTTCCGATGCCAACATTGATTGTTGTATGGTGTAGATGGAGGAGAGAATCATGAAAAATGGGTGGGATTTAACTGCCACCACACAAATTAGAGAGCGAAAGTAGAACGGGTATATATTTATATATGCACAAATAAATATAGATAAATACCTGAGAAAGATACAAACTATAAACTTCTTCAAGATGAGATTTAAGGCAGATACAATGGAAGAGGCTATGAAATCACAATTGTAGTTGCGACAGACTGCGTGAGTGCAATCAAGAGGCTTTGTCACCGATTAAATCAATGAGCAAAGAATTTATAGGGGTCATGTTTTACATTTAGCCCATGTTTGGCACCCATTCTCTATCTCATTCTCATTTTCATTTTTTTCTCTTACTACATTTCAACCACACATTCTTCCAATAAAATAATATTACACACAAATATAAAATTTTTCATAACTTTTCCACCACACATTCTCCCATCAATCACTATTCTAAAAATTTTTATCTTCAAAAAATGGGTGTCAAACACACCATTAATAAAGTAGTATGTTGGTGTTGAAGTTACAATGAATAAAAGAAGGTTCCAGAGCATTGAGCCGTTAGTATTGTGTTTCACTAACTAATAATTAATTAGACCTATTAACTAATTAGGTGGAAACAAATATTCAACAGCTAAGGCTAGAAACAAGCAATAACTAGATCTTTTTAATAAGGAAGGTGTCTTAAATCCTTTTTCTTTACATTGGGTTCATTGGCAGGAGATTTCAGTACATTTTTAGGTTGAGGTCAGGAAGGTGTATTCCTCATTAAAATTAGATTGAAGTTAATTATTTTCCCCCACTGAGTAACAGTCCTGGCTCCACCCCTGCTCTCAACACACCTTCCATCACCCTTTGCAATAAAATTTATCCATGTTATGTATGTCTCACTGCCTTCAGCTCCAATCAACAATGACTACGATCAATGCCACAGATAACTAAAAGACATTGCTAGACAGTGATAGAATAGAGTTGGTTAATATGAGCATGTAACTGGAGGGGTGTAATCAAGATTGAAAAATTATATGCACACTAGTCTTTATGGGCCAACAGTTGCAAATTTTAGTGCTCACAATGAATGATGTTGAAGAATCTAACCTCAAATCTTAGGCCCTCTCCTCTTCGCATGAGATCTAAGACATTGCGAATCTGTTCAAAAGAAAAATAAACATTATTACTTTCATTCGAAAATTTCTAGAAAACAATTAGATGAAATCTTTTTGTTTCCAATGGTATTTACATAACACATACTGTCAGAGCCAAACTAGCATATAAACTGATTGATCATGAATGAATTATAAACCAAAATCTCATCTTGGATTCACAAACACGTGCCAGTAAACAGAAATAGGATCATTATTCAACTTATAAGGATATTCTCCATCAATGAGCACGTAACACGAGTTTGTTCCACACATTAGGTACTGGAAATGCCCATGTGCACATTAGATATCAATCGTCACAGCGACAATGTTTCACAACGAAATGTCTGAAGAACAAAATTCTTCAAAAAATATGTGTTCTTACGAGTAAAGCCATAGTGGAAGGACAAGACAGAAATAAGAATTAAGGTTTCTGCTCAAAAGGTCGCAGAAGAGAGAGGGGTGGAGAGTTCATCTGACTCTATCATGTCTTCCATACAATTGGAACTCTGGTGTTCCGTGGTTGGTCAAAGATGGTAGGTAAGTCTAAATTCCAACTATATGTAACACACTAAAACGATGAGCTCATACTATTTGTTCAAATTGTGTTTTGAGTGCAGAGAATAACAAGATACAGTACATACCTCAGATGCTAGCCTACTGTTTCTTCCTTCACTGGAAGCAGCCAAAGTTCGCAGTGAATAAGGTACTCCAAAAGCTCCATCAAGATGTCTCTCCAACATGGCTGACCTTGAATTTGGCAAATGATGCTCATGATTATCAGATGCAGACGAAATTGCCAACTCCTGGGAAGCAGCAGAATGCAGCAGAGCGCGATTGCTGGTCTGACTTCCAGACTCGGTACCTGCCGAGGTCAGCAAAGATCTTCGAACAATTTCTGACAGTCTTCGAGGATATTGTGGAGAACCTCGATGGGACCAATTAGGTGTAGATGAGTTGACTCCGGAAGTAGAGCCTGCACGAGAAGAAGATGCAACATTTCCAGCCAGATTGATATTACCACCAGTTGAACGCATTAGAGGATTTTGTGATGAATTTCTCATCTCAGAAGCAGAAGCAAACACGGGATGTTCTGAAATGTTTCTTGGCACACTTCTTGTGGTAGTTTCTTCATAAAGCACAGCATCCCTCTCCCCAGAAATGGCAGAAGCTGATGAACTACTGGCTCTTGAGCTAGATGTTTCGTTCCACCTAGACTGTCGACTCCGGCGAAGAGAAGGAATGTGCAAACCAGATGATACATGAAAACCTTCATTTTCTTCTGTAGATACTGGCCTTGACTCAAAGAAATGATTACGAAGACGTATTCTTGATGAATGTTGGGAAGATGGAAAACTTGTGTTCCCAACATTAGCTTCCGTTGAAAACAGATTACCAGGTATAGAATCTTGTTGGTTTGAGTCATTTATCTGCAAGCAGAAATTTTGTCTGGAACTTTCGGCAGTCCCAGAAGCATTCAGAGTCAGAGGACTTGTAGAAGCAGATCCTCCAACATGAAGCCCCAGTCTTGGGTTTGTGGACAATTCTCGATCTCTCTCAATATCTCTCTCCATTAGAAAATCCTGATCTGACACATCAATGGCAATAATATCATCAATTGGTGCTGACATACTTATGCTGCTCATGGCAGCCTGTGTAGCCGGCACAGCATGCCATAGACTTCTTTCAGCATGCTGGAAATACGTTGAACTTCCAGTTCCAGAAGACTGTCCCACATTTCCTTCAAAGGCTTTTCTTTTGCACGATAAGCGTCGACCATCCAAAGAACAACCTGGCCTGCCATCGCTTTCCTCCATCAAATATTTACCACTACCAGAGGAAACCCCAAAAGGATCAGAGGAACTACTGGCAAAGGGCATCTGCCCATTTGAAGATCCATCTGATTTGAATGTATTCGGACGCTCCACTACCTGGCAGTCATCATCTTCCTCGTCCGCGAACCCAGAACCCATGTTAAGATCACTATTACGGATGTCATAACTAGAATTCTGCAACAGAAGTGACCCATCTGTTGTCTGATTGTTATTTGAGTTTACGTCAACATTATCCAATAAGAGAATATCAGATGATTCATAGTGTCCATCGTCCAAGGTGTGAGCAGCTCCAGAGTGAAAGCTCATAAATGACGGCCAGCCATCTTCTGTTTTCCTCTCATTCAGTTCAGACTGATTTTGTGCACAACTGGAACTAGTTTCACCCACATTCCACCCACTTAAGGCCTGCTCCTCATGGCTAGCATGTCCAAGATATGCAACATCTGCATTACTCGACATCATATAATCTGATAGTTGATTTTGAGCAGAAGTTTGTGTATTATTCCAGGACATCTGCTGATTTATTCCAGCATCACTTGAGGTAGACCCGTGATCTGAGCTCAAATTTTCAGCCAATGTACTGACAGCACTCCTTTGCCCTTGCATTAAAGCTACCTTTTGATGTGCTCAAACACTCCAGACAGATTCCAAATCAATGGAGATGGAATATCCAGAACCGTAATTTTCAGCAATTCTAGAAGCATGAACCCACAAGTTTAAAAGACAGATTTCATCAATTGAGAAGTTCAAAAGAGTACATCAAGCACAATGAGTTCGTATTGCAAGAATAATCAACGAATGTTAACCAAAACCACCAAATAATGGGTGCCAATAAAACAATGATGATCTGCATTTAAAAAGCCAAAATTCTTTGGATCAAAAAGGAATCACAGATTAACATTAGTAAAGATGGTGAATCCAGTAAGAGTGATAAACCATTTAATTGCTACAACACAATCAAATCCTCTAATGACACGTGTGGTTCATCGGTCAGATACCGTTTTCATTGGTATCTCAAGTGTCACGTGCATCGACCACCACCACGTGTATCCAAACAGATACTTAAGAACCTAATAAATTTCTTCTCATCATCCAACCATGTTCGGACAATTTTTATTTGTCATCATGAGCACGTTATTATCCCAGTCTCACACGAGAGCCATCACATTAATGCCATGTTGCTGAAATAAGGATATTTCCATCTCTTTCTCATCAAGGTGACAAAAATATTTTATTACATGCAAAACACAAATTCCAACCCAAAAAACATGACTGCATTAGTATAAGAGCATTAATTAGACCCTACGAACTTATTTTTATCCCTTGTCTCAACAGGATAAATACTATTCAGAATTCTAAACCCGAGAAAATAATGAAAGCTTTAAGATTGAAAAAGAATCAACATTCTAATATCAAACAACTAGAAGCTCAATACAAAGACATCAGCTGTTTTTAAACACCCCCAACAACCTGAAGAACCAAAATGAATATATTAGCATTTTGTATGACATCCCAACCTTTACACCAAAGTAAAGATTGAAACAAGCATATCAACAAACAGCATTATTATAAGGTATAAAAAGGGAAAACAAAATAAAAAATCGCTCACTTATTTCAATATGTAGGCATAATTGCATAATTCATATATACATACAGATAAGAAACTTTATTCTATGCATCTAACGATATTCTCCAGTGTAAAAGAATAAATTAAAATCATACAAAAAATTAGTAGTGTAAATATAAAATCTTCGGTACAAATACAGAAATTATCAAACCTACTTAATCAAGAATTACCTCAATAACATCAGACCCTTAACAGATTAAAACCATAGAAAAGGGGGAAAAAGGGTTTACAAATTCAAGGAGCCAGTACAATTCTTTTGTTTTACGAAAACAAAAAGAACCCACCCCGAAAAAAAAAGATCCAAGAAACCAATTTTTTTTTAAAAAAAAAAATGATTTAAGTTTAAACAATAATAAATAAAAATTAAAAAGAGCTAACAGGATGGCGTCATCAAAAGATCAGTACAGAAATGAAACAATCTGATATATTTACCTGCCAAAAGAGCAGCAGATTGAGCAATAGATCTAAAGTCAAGACCTGAAAATAGTAAAACAACCGTCAAAAAATTTCTTCAGCCAAAGAAAATGTGGGCTTCGAAAAAAATCAAAAATTCTTCCCAACCCACCTCTACTTTCACTCTTTAGAAGTAGAAAAAATTGAAAAATATAGAGAATATATAGAGAGCTTTAGATTACAATGAGATGAGAAAGAAAAATTGGGTGGTGTGGTGTGAAAGAGAACAGAAACTGAGAGATGGGTGGGGGTTAATGAGGACAGTAACCTTTATTTACTCAAAACACCCCACCAATAGCCCTCAGGGCCAGACCACCTCCTCCATCTTTATGCACAGACAAAAAAAAAATCAAACCAAAATAAAAAAAGCAAAAGCTGAATTTTCGTTAATGCAAATATTTTCTTAAGTCAGCGATGAGGATTCTTCCTTCTTAGCTGTTCGCATTGATGGGATGTAAATGAAAATAAATTTTGAATGAAAATGAAATGTCCAAAAAAAAAAAAAAAATTGTAATCTGCCACGGATTCCTGTTGAGGGTAGCTTACCAAATGGCCCTTTTTCTTGTGAAATGTGTCATTGTTTTCAACTCGTGCTCCCAAGGCGCGCCGTGGAGGGGGTGGGGAAAGGAAGGGAAAATTATTTCGTGTACCCTTTTCTTTTGTTTTCAATCTCCACGCCAAGCACCTGTCCACTGTATGTGTCACGATGCCATATATCACATGGCTGGCATGTCTCTGTACTCTTTTTCAGTTTAACAAGTGCCAGATTTTCTGCGCGTGTTTTGGGTAAATTTTACCCTTCATTAGGGGTGGTGGGGTGGAGCGTTTTACCATAGTGTTAGGTAATTGGTGAAATCTTATTTATTGCCATAATTGGATAGGTCAGCATCCCAAAGTTCTAAAACAAACTTCATAACATAGGGTATCTATCGTCTAAATGTTTGGGTGACACGTGAAAATCTCATATTGTTATAAATAGGTGGTTTAGAGAGTGTCACAATGACAGGTAGAATCTCATTTATCGTGGATAGGTCAATGTCATGGTAAAATACAATTTTGAAGATTTCGGAGTACAATGTATGTATCAATTGAGATTTTCTCGTTAAGAATTTAGATTTGAAAAATGTACAATTGTAAAGATAAGTACACAGTAATCCACCAACAGAAGAGAAGACAAGTGTCATAAAAGAATCACGATTGAATGCTTTTAAGTTCGAGAGAAAAGGTGCGTCGCTCCAACAGTGAAATCACAATTCAGTGATATGCATTTTTTTTATAAATATTTGAAGTCATTTCGCGTGCCATGTCTTGAATACTACAAATTAAGTTAGCCCCCGTTTGACACCCAATAGTTTTTGAATCAACGCCCGAGAATTTATTTTAAGAATACCATTTAAATTTCAAATTGAAATTTGTACAAGTGAGAAATGACTTTCCCAAATTGCCATCAACCAAATTTTGAATGGGGAAATAATTAATTAAAATTAAAGAGAACATATCCCATAATTAGATTCACATAACAATGCTTAAACTTTCTTCACAATATGATTGAGGCAAATTTGTCAATTTATTAATAGACAAATTGTTCATGAAGTGGTCCAAACAAATTTACCTAATTTAGGTCAACTTATCTTATTAATTATTAATTTCATACTTTTCGTAAAAGCATTTATTCTAATGCTTTATGCTCCATGCTGATAATCCACTGAGTATATGTCAAAAATAATGATTAACTTTCTTTTCTCATTCCCACAAAAGAAAATAAAAAACGTATTTTGTTTCTTTAAATTTATAATCTCCTCATAAAATTAAAATTAAACTCAATAAAATTTTAAATGTATTTTAATATACAAAAAAATGATATCAAAATTAAGTATACCGATTGAAAAAAAAAACATTTATACTTCTTTGAGTTCTTTCTCTTTATAAATAAAGATAGTCTCTTTAATGCTAGCCGTTGCACATGAGTTGGACAATGCATGAATTGTCCCAATTTGTTCACGGGGAAACTCAATTTTTGTACGGTAACTACAATATTGTAAGGCACCTAGAATTCGTTGATAGGTCGATGATCTGGTAGTTCTCAGTAATCAGTTTGCATATTCTCCATCAATTAGTAACTACAGGATGATCATAAGCAATACATACGACAAATATGTGCAATGATGACCAAGATTAGAAGGAATTATCACGAGATTAAATTTTACTCTTCTAGAGACCCACGTTTAGATGTGATAAGTTTTCATTTTCTCTTCTTATTTTTTTCAAGCTAGTGGTCAAGCCTACTTCCCTCCTCCTAAGCTATATATTCTTTTTATACTCCGTTATAATAAAATACATCAACCCATATGGTATTAATTGAAAAAAAAAATACAAAAAGCAAGGTAACAATTTTTCGCACTTTGCTACACTCTCATCTCTATTTTCTTTATAAATGTTACTTGAGCAATGCTACACTTATCGAAAATACTTTGACCGAACACTCATAATAGAAGGAGGGCCCACATTTTTTTGGAATTTTTTATTCACACGGGGCTGTACACATGTGAGAGGTTGTCATCCATTTTCGGTACAAATGGAAAAACTCGTGTTACTTTCATATTTTGCTTCAATTTCCCCGCATCAAGAATTTGGTAAAAAAATTAAATAAAATTCTATGTTATTATTCCACGAGAGACAAAGTTAAGGATACGTCATAAAAGATTATTAGGGATTTTACAAAATCGACGTCATCCACTAAGCCATCATCAGTCCAACATATTCAGATGTAACGAAAGATAAGCACATTAGCATGGTTGTATTTTAGATTGTAATAAATAGATTTGAACTTTATCATGTTATCACTTGTTACACATTGTAACAAACTGTGTCTGCATCCATAGACGGCAACAGATTTGGAGGTAGTAGGTGGCTGGAAGGGGAGGAGGAGGAGGTGGTGGTGGCGGCGGCGGCGGCGATAGGTTGTGATCGTAATCATAAATTGTGTGCTTATTGTAATCTTGACCTGTTTAACTAAATACATAAGTCTCAAAATTTTATAAAAAATCACAAATCTTGACCACCTAATTTTTGAAAGATTTCATCTTGACCTTTCGTTAAATGGCCTAAATTATGGACCCAAATGCTAAGGCCCAACTTCTTGGGAACGCCTACACGCGTTTGGGCACCAATATTCTGGGTCGACATGACAAAGCCCATTTTATACAACTAATATATTCAGCAACTTTTGCGGTGGAGCACATGGGCATCATCCCAAAACAGCTGTCACCCTCACGTGATTTCTGTACCTCCGCAATTCACGCTGCTAACTTCGCATTATCGCATCATACATAATTCCAAATATTGCATGATTGATCCCTCGTATATTTCTTAATTAGCAATTTAATCCATAACTTCAAAAAAGAACAGTCTTTCCCCATCGATAAAATTAGTTTGTTTAAGCACAACAAAGAGAGAGCTCTACTCTACAACGTGTAAACTGTAAACAAGCCAATGGATTTAATGAACAAAAAGGCCAAGCTCCAATAGAAAAGAATATTTAAAAAATAGTGCACACAAAAAGTAAAAATAAATAATCGAACAATAACAAAACCCTAATCTTCATGCTCGCCGGAAACGTGAATATTTCGAACTAGATCAGCAGATCTAGAGCAAAAAAGCAGCAAAGAAGAACACTGCAGCAGCAGATCCAGCAATCGATACTCTGTTCAAAGCAGCGGCGCTGGGTGAGGAGTTAGGAGCGGCGTTGGGTGAGGAGTTAGGAGCGCCACCGGGTGCGGAGGCGATAGATGGAGGACTAGAGGCAGGTGCACCGGCGGGAGAAGTAGGAGGTGCAGGAGGAGAAGACAATGGAGATTCAGAGGGTGATGAACTTGTAGGAACTGAGGCTGGTGCCGTAGTTGGTGTAGCAACTCCCTGCGGTGGAGACGCAACTGGAGCCGCTGCCGGAGACGCTTTCGGCGTGGCAGCTGGAGCCTGAGCTAATGCTATTGCAGCCAACAATGCAAAAACCAAAGCCACCAATGATTTAGAGCAAGCCATTTTCTCTCACCCTAATACTTGAAATTTAGCAAAATAGAGAGAACTGTATAGGACTGTAGAAAATGCAAATGAGAGAAAGAGGGGATTGTGGTGTTGAAGGATAACAGGAGAAGGAGACTAATATATACACAGAGATATAGAGAGAGAAAGAGGGAGCTTTAATGAGAGAGAAAAAAATTAATTAATTTTTATTCAAATTAATTACGAAGTTTAAATTGTTTCTAATCATTGATAAACAAGTCAGCAACAGAGAAAAGGTCGAAAACTCAACAAAGGACACGTGTTAACAGTTGGACGAATTCTGATTAATCTAAATAGATCTAAACCGTACGCGTGTGAATGTTGCTTTAAGGTTAAGGCTAATCTGGGGAATTTAAACGTTGGGAAATTTTTAGTGACCGTTGTGATCGGCACGTTGAATGATGATTACAGTACGATAATGGCCCCTCGTGTCTTGCACAGACTATTGTTTCTCGAATTTAGCCCCAGTTTGACAAATCATTAAAATAAATTTTATTTTTAATTATACATTATTAAAATAAAATATTTTATTCAAAAAAAAAATTCAATTTTTAAATCATACATTCTTGAAAAAAAATCACGGTCAAAAAACATTTTTTTTCC